CCAGTCACATATTATTGATATAATACGCACCTACGTACAAATTAAGATATCACAATACATATAGTCTATTAAGCGAAGGTACGTTTAAGATCTTAAAAACCTTTTTGAAAATTTATATCTTAAACTAGGCCTAGCTTAAAGGTTGGTTATACCTTGAACTAGATTTAGTTTAAAAATTAAATTGGCCTTAGACTAAGAATAGTTTATGAGCATTGTTTACACTATGAATGTTGAATATAAATGAAGAATATGAATGTTGAATTTGAATGAAGAATATGAATGTTGAATGTTGAATAACGAATGATGAATATTTAATATTGACTATTGAACATCTGAACTGAATATTTTGTGCGTGATATCAAATGATTTGATTATGAATTGAGATTCAATTTATATGGATGTTCGACGCATTAGATATGCTTACTCAGCTTCAACGCTGAGCGTGTAGTATATTTTATTTGCTACACGCAGGTAAACAAAAAGAATGAAGTGACGAACCCCTATGGGGCAAGATGGTCGACATGGATGTGAAGATATGAATTGTGGTTTTGAAAGACATAAAGATCATTATGTTTTGTAATTGTTATTTATCAAGCTTCCACAACATTAAAAGAATGAAGTGATGAACCCCTATGGGGCAAGATGGTCGACATGGATGTGAAGATATGAATTGTGGTTTTGAAAGACATAAAGATCATTATGTTTTGTAATTGTTATTTATCAATCTTCCGCAACATTAAACTACTCCGTTATTACCTTGAATGATTTATTATGAAATAAAGTTTTAAAATGTTTGAAATATTTTGAATGTTTACAAATACCAAGTTTATACTTTAGTCAGAAAGGGGCTGCAGAGATGGTGGCGATGTCAATTGTAATGGATTGAAGGGGATGGACAGCGAAGAGATTAGAATCAATCATGAAAAGGAGAAGAGCTCGTTTGGGAATGAGGCACGTGAGGATATTTTTATATTTTAATAATTTTGGTCCTATTTAGAAGAGTTTATGTTTGAAGTCTTATTTTAGTGATAAGACACATGTTTTATTCTTACTTATGGAGTTTTCTTCTATTCTTATTTTGGTTGCATTTCGTTCGCCTGATAAGATTTTTTCACTACTACAAAAATGACCAAATAGATCTCCCATTGTCAGCAAAACAAACGATCTAAATGGAAAAAAAAAATTGCGTACTAGTTAGCATTTGAATCGGTTAATCCTAATAACCGATTCAAATAGCATTTTAATCGTAATAGTTTATATATATATATATATATATATATATATATATATATATATATATATATATATATATATATATATATATATATATATATATATATATATTAGCAATGCCGGCGACCTCTTCCGGCCAATCCTCCGGCCAGCAACCTCACCCAAAGTCTACCTCCATCTTAGCTCCAGCTTCATGCCCAGCCACTGCCACAAAATTCCCAAGCAGAACCAAAAGCTATGCAGCAGCCATTCTCAACAATAAAATCCAGGTACCATCTCTTGACCTTCCTCCAAGACCTATTGAAAAATACAAAGGTCTTCCTTGCATATCATTCACTCAAGAGGAAGTTAACCAACTCTCAACAAGATTTTCTAAAGCCCTTATTGGCTCGTTCTACTTTGGAAGACCAAGCTTAGATTTTTTGAGATTCAATCTTGTAAGAATAGGCTTCACTGATTTTTCAGACACTCTTATTGATTCTACACATGTTCTCCTAAACTTCTCCAAGGATGATGAATATCACAGATGTTTTAAGAGAAGAGAATGGAGTTTTGGGCAATTCAAAATGAAGATTTCTAAATGGACTCCCAATTTTGATCCCAAATACGAATCACCCATCCTCCCAATCTCGATAGCCATCAAGAACCTTCCTATCCATCTTCATTCAAAGGAATCTCTCACACAAATAGCAAATATTTTTGGCTCTCCTATCAAACTAGATGCTACCACTGAAAACTTCGGTAAGCCTTCCCTAGCAGGAGTTTGTGTAGAGGTTGATATCTCACAACCTCTTATCACAAAATTTTATATTCAAAATGGAAACCAACAGCTCCTACTGGAACCTGATTTGCAGTATAGAACGGGCAAAAATAACAACTAAAAAGAAACCCTTGTAAGTAGGGTGTTGAACCTCAGGGAGACGTGAATTAATTTAATTTAAACAAAAGTTTACAAAAGAAGTTGTAAAATATTTTTGGTCTTTTTGGTTTTAGAGATAAAATAAAAAGTGTAAAAAGAGAGAGTTCCAAACAATACAAAGTTTTTGATGATGAAAAGTTAAGGGTAGAAATTCGTAAATTAATTGTCCAATGTTTTTATAAAAGTTGGATTGTCAATTTATTTTTATATAGTGGGGTTGCAGAAAAGACGTGCCTCAGCCAATTACAAAGTTTGTAAGGCGTGCCTTAGCCAATTACAAGTACGGTGAAAAGGTGTCCTGGTCCGATTGTAGTAATATTGTTCGCCCAACACCAGACCAAGAGCTGAGAGCCCGGCTCATCAGTTGGAACTATGTTCCTACCTAAATAGTTGTCTTGTGGAGTAACGCCCAAGCGGAACGCAAGATAATGAAATATGGATCTTGGCTCACTAGAGGTTTCGCCGGAAATCTCCGAATCAATATCGAGGGTTATTGATTTGTTAAAAATAGTGGGAGATAATTAATTAAAGGCCTAATTAATTATTAAACATGATAGATAACCTAGTTTGCAAAATTTTCTGTAGATGGCAAACAACAACAACCCTTTCAACCTGCGCTACATCCTGGAAAACAACAAGTTATCCGGGACCAACTTTCTTGACTGGGAGATGAACCTCCGAATCGTTCTTAACTGTGAGAGGAAACTCTACATCCTCGAAACGGATCCTCCCAAGACCCCTGATGCTAATGCTCGTGCGTCCGAACTCACTTCCTTCAAGAAGTATGAGGACGACGCGCGAGATGTAAAGTGTATCATTATGGCCAGTATGACCGCGGAGCTCCAAAGGCTCCACGCGGACATGGAAGTGCGTCCTATGATACAATGCTTAAGAGACCTTTACCA